ACAAGTGCATGGACTGGGTCAGACCCTAGGTCCATCTCGCCCAGGGTGCTGTGTCACACGGAGGCAGAGAGCAGAGGCTGGAGGGAGAGTGAATGGGGTCTGAGCAGGGTTTTTCCCCCGATCCTCTCTCTCTTGCAGACTCCAGCGTTTAAGGTCTGATTCAGAGGCCGTGCCCCTTGCTGCCCTGCTCAATAGCGACGGCTGCCCCTTTCCTCCAGGCACGTGTCCAACCCCTTGGTGACTCTGGCTGAACTGCAAGTTCCCACCACGTCTGGTAGCTGCAAGTCTCAGTTTCAATGACACGCTGTGGAAAAGAGCCAATTCCCAAAAAGCAAACCTCGAAATATCACTCGTAAGCCAGCAAGAATGATCCCAACGAGGACAAATGTATTCAAGGTGTGGATGCACCATGCATTTAGAAAGGGGCATCGTGATACTTTCTAATAATTTCCTTCTTAATAATCCCGAACGTGGCCTTTGCCTTTTTGACAGCTGCTGAGCGCGGAGCTGATGTATTAGCAAACTGTCCACGGTGGCTCCCACATCTTTTCCCCACAGCTCATGGAGAGCCCGGCAGAGCGCAGGCAGAGTTTGGGTTAGTTCTGCACCACCCTACACTGATCGACACCAAATGTCATCTGCCGTTTAGTTGCCCATGGGCCCAACGGTGCCAGATCCTTCTGTAGCTCCTCATGGTCCACCTTGGTCTCGACCAGGTTGAATAATGTTGCGTTGTCCATAAATTTGGCCCCGTCGTCACTCGCCCCCTTTTCCAGATCGTTGGTGGATATGGGAAACAGCGCTGGTCCCCACACAGATCCCGGGGGGCCCTGCTCTTTAAATGGTCAGTCCTCAGGATGGAAAGAAGTATATTCGCTCCTTGCTTTCTGCCTTTGAGCCAGTTTCTAATCCACCAGCGCCGTTCCCTGTAACCCCTTTCTGGAGCACGTGAAGCCGTTCCCGTTCAGGAGCACAGGGCTGGATGGGGCCTCCCAGACCGCTGATACCAGTCCCCTGTTGACCATTAACCCCGGATCCCCACCCTCCGACACCACAGGGAGAGGAGCAGGATCCCGAACATCAAGAGCATCACGAGACACTTGAAGGAAGCCATGTTCCCCTTGGACCCGATGAGCTGGTGAGGTCCTTCCAGCCCTACCGTCTATGTCTACGTGCCGTTCCACGTCTCTTCTTCCTTCTCCACATCTGCCCAACGTCGGAGAAGTCACTCTGGCGACGAGGGCAGACAAGGCTGCAAGCACAGAGCGGGGCTGCACGGCTGTCTGGGACGGAGGTATTGTGGGGTGATGAATTCACCTGCTTTACCACGGGACACGTGGGTCCTCTTGCGTCATTGCCGTGGTGGCTCTGGAATGGGACTCATGGCTCACCGCAAGTGTCTGGCCTCACTAAGGACCTTCCTCACCCACTCCCCAGAGGCCTTCCCCTCACCATGGGGGCACCCCCATAGCAGACATAGGGGCCAGGGGACCTTTGCAGTCTCTTCTTGCTGAGCATCCCCCTCCCCGGCAGACCAGCTGATGGGACCTGCTCCAGCTGCCTGTAGGGCAGGCATCTCCACCTCCACCCAGCACCCTGAAACCGGTCCCGTCCTCCGTGACAGATGTGCTAGGCTTGCATTGGGTCCAGGGTTTGGGGGACCAGCGCAGAGGACCCAGCTGCTCCGGGGGGCCGGCGTGTGGGAGGACAGGCGAGCTGGCAGCTCTCCAAGGTGTGGGCAGATAATTTTGCAAGCCCCAAGGCCAGCCCTTCCCCGGCACCTTCCTGAAAGCCAAGAGACCCACAGCAGAGAGCTCCAGGAACTGCAGAGCCCCCGTGTCCTCACGCCAACGGGCAGACCCTCAGCTCGGCACTGCTGAGAGCAGGGCGGCTTCCACCGTGCCTTCCCTAACCCCAGGGAGCCGCCTCGCGTAAAAGGGATCAAGTTCCCTTGCCAGCCATCTCCTTGCCCTCTAATCCACCAGTGCCGTTCCCTGTAACCCCTTTCTGGAGCACGTGCAGCCGTTCCCATTCCCGTTTAGGAGCACAGGGCTGGATGGGGCCTCCCAGACCACTGATACCAGTCCCCTGTTAACCATTAACCCTGGATCCCCACCCTCCGGGGGGGCTCCACACCCATTGCACGCTGGTGGCAGGCTAGGAAGAGGCAAGCCCGCCATGCCAAAACGCTGGGAGAGAGACCACAGCAGCACGGCTGGCACTGGTAAAGGGGG